TAGCGTGTAGAGCCCCATTCACTCTATTTCCTGCATTCACTCGTCGTTCTATATCCTTATCATATCTACCATCCCTGCTAAATAAACATCCCAAATATACAAACTCATCCACTTGCTCAATCAACTCCCCTTCTATTCTTATTTCACATAAAGTTTTACTTTCTTCTCTTTCAAAAACCATCACTTTCGTCTTACTTGCGTTCACTTTCATACCCCTTTCTTTCAATGACCAATTCATTAAAGTAACCATCATTTGCAACTCGGCCGCCGACGATGCAAATATGACTTGATCATCGGCGTACAAAAGGCATTTGACGGTTGACTCACCCATTCTCAACCCACATTCTTCAACTTTCAAAGTTTGCAAACAACTGTCCATAAATAAGTTAAACAGCCACGGGGAAGCCACACATCCCTGTCTGACACCTTTATGAATGCCAAACCAGTCCGAGTAGACCCCGTTGATCCTGACACAAGCACTAGAGTCCCTATAAAGAGATCTTAATGCCTGTATCAAGCCAGCGCTCAACCCAAATGAGTTCAGTGTTTGCCATAACACATTCCTGTCCACTCTGTCATAAGCCTTTTCCAAGTCCATGAACGCACAAAAAACTTTCTGGTTTTTAGCCAAAAACTTCTCCGCTATCATGCGCATGGAAAAGACTTGATCCGTACACCCCATCCCCTTTCTAAATCCAGCTTGCACATCCCAAATTTTTCCATCAGTTTCTTCCATAACTCTTTCAATTAACACCTTAGCATACAGTTTACCCACAATGCTAAGCAAGCTGATACCACGGTAGTTTTTACAGTCCTGCTGCGACCCCTTTCCCTTATATATTGGGACTATAACGGCTTTGCACCAGTCTTCCGGTACCCGTTTCAGTTCCCAACACAAATTAAACAAGGTGTGCAGCAGGCCTGTAACCACACCCTCACCAGCCCTCAGCATTTCGAGTGATACTCTATCATATCCGGCTGCCTTACCTGCTTTCATGCTTTTCATTGCTTTCATTATTTCATCTACACTTATCTCCCTACCTCTCTCCACTTCTTCCGGAATTTCTATTTCACTTATTCCAGACGACTCTTCACTCTTAAACACGCTTTCAAAGTATTCCTTCCATCTCTTTAAATTCGAAACTTCATCATTCAGCATGCAGCCATTCTCGTCTCGTATAGCATTTATTCTAGGCTGTTTTGAATTTCCCCTGGCAGTTCTTACGAGCTTCCAGAACATTTTAATATTTGCCTGGAAGTTATCAGATATCCTTCTATCATTCTTATCTATCCTTTCTTGCTTTTTCCTTTCAACAACTTCTTTTACTCTCTTATTTATACGTCTAAAGTCTGCCTTTTTTCTTTCAATCTCATCATTCATACCGCCAGAATTACCAGCTTTAGTTGCTAGTAAATCTAGCCATGCTCTCTTCTTTGCTTCAACTTCCATCCGTACCTCATCATCCCACCACAACGTATTACTTTTCCTTTCATTCGTTCTCTTACTTACACCGCATACTTCGGTGGCTGCATCCACCAAAACTTTCTTAATATTATTCCATACATTCTTCAATTCTAAATCATTCATACATAATTCATTCAACCCACTTATATTTTCCCTCAATCTGCATTTATACTTCTCTTAGGTAATTTAGAATACAAATAAAATATCGTTAAAGTAAGGGATGGTGGAACCCTTTAGAAGATAAACCCATTAGAAGAAGCGTTGTCACTCCTGAGGACTAAGGTGAAATGCCTCGTTTAAAAAACGGTTTCCGGTTCACTACACTCAATATACGAAACACAGCAGCATTAAGCTGTTATTTTACGCTGGTGTTCTGTGAGTGCGTGGTTCTTTACCGTTCAACCCGACCCATTCGTGATACAATCATCGCAACGTCTAGTAGAGGTTTTGTATAGGCTGGTCGAGGAACAATAATTTCGTATAGGTCTAGCAACAGTAAGGCGCGGTTCTGATGCTTTTCGCCGAGCCATCTTGAGTGTGGAATAAAATTATACATTAAAAAATATTTAGTTTCTGTCATAAATTCCACGACCCTAGATCCAAGCCCGGCAATAGCTCCTAATTAGTTATACGGCTCTCTCCAACAGATAACTCTAACAAAAGCAAAATGCTATTCAGAACATTGTTAATTTTGTTTACATTCTAACAAATCAAACGTCGAGCTGTGTTTGTGGTTTGAAATCAATTTGCCGAGAATGGAACATTGTTGCAGTCTAGTTTAGATAATGTTTGAAGTTCCATATTTCAATTTGGCTTTGATGAAATGTGAACAAATGACTATGTAAGCTTTTCATATTATATTTCTGTCTTTGTGCACAAAGAGAACAGTCACTAAAAACTGACTGTAATAATAAATCCGTGTAGTCTAAGAACATCCACTGCCCCATATCATCCCATCCGTGGGTGTCGTAATCAGGAGATGGCCAGCAGTGTCTTCCTAATAACGACTAAAAATTAAAAATTGCAGTTGCCAACCAGCTCACTAAGCGTGACAACCATGGCAAATATGCTCGCTACGAGGTAATCTATGGAGAGGCTTCTGTTGAGTTAGTTGTAGCCTATATACATCCCACTGCTGGGCACAGGCCTCAGAAGCAGTCTCATTTATCCATGGATATGTCCGCCGCGATTCCCAAGGTGTGTTGGCGAATTTCATGCTCGCATTGCTCGCGTACTGTGTAATTTGCAGAGAGCGCTTAACCTCTTTTCAGTCGTTAAAGTCCACTTTAATAGGCTGTAACGGTAATAATAAAAATGTTTGAGTATAGTTAACAAAATTAACTAAAAAGAAAAAAAATTGGGTTCGAATCCCGCACGGAACAAATATTTGTATGGCCTACAAATAATTGTTCCGGGTCTGGATGTTTGTCCTTGTGCAATTTATGTTTGTAAACTGCTTCCACGACGTTTTCCGACGAACGTTTAAAAAAAAAACAAAATTCACATTGTGAGTGGCCGATCCAAATCAGCTTAATCTCAGACTGATCTCTAAGGTCCATAGGTTTTTATAGAACCCGCTCTGCTTAACATGCAGTGGTCTAATCTTTATCTTTTTTTCTTTTTATTTTATCATGGGAAATACTCAAATTACAATAAATACACGAATATATATAAATACACGTATTAGAAAAACGAGTATTTGTAGACACCAGTTTTTCCGGCCCCAGAGACTATGGATCTGTTCTATAATTCGGGCCGCGGAAGGTAAGCTAGAGAGAGAGAGAGAGAGAGAGAGAGAGAGAAAAAGAAAGAGAGAGAGTGAGAGGGGGAGAGAGTATCCCAGCACCCTTATTTGTCACTAACAAAAATGAATGTATTTAGTAACGTGGTGGCCGCGGGTTCGATTCCCGCATGGAACAAGTAGGTATGTCCTACAAATAATTATTCCATGTATGAATGTTTGTCCTTATGTTATTTATGTTTATATGCTGCCTCCACGATACAGGTGAAAACTAGAGTGAGAGTAACGATTTTTTTGAAAAAAGAATATACAGCCGCGTACCGTCGAAAATTTTTAAGTTTTATATAAAGACGCTCCTCTTATGGTTTATTAAATTTTGTAACAATGCTTCGAGAAACAAAAATATTTAATCCAATTTATCGTGAAAAGACTAGCTCCATAAAGAAAGACGTAAAGCTTTGTTAGTAGGAGAGGGTAATAGAACGGTGCGATTGAATTGATCTTTTAACTGGAAATATTCCAAGTTTATGTGCTTATTATTGTATCAGTATCTTTACGTTAAAATATTTTAGGTTTAACTGTCTATTCGTAATCAATGTTAATGAAAAAATCTTTTGGTCTTCGTATATTTTTTGAAATTAAATAAATTTATTTCTGCCGCCCAGAAGTGCTTCTACTTCTGTGCTCTAAATTAAAGGTATAAGAATCGATACATTTATGAAGCACGTTATCATAGGAATCAGGCGTGACAGCATATTAACTTTAGCTTCCTTTTTTTTGAAGTTAGTTGCGGGTGTTCATTCATTTATTGTAGAACCACGTTTCGGCTATATTATGGTTGTAGCACGAATCGGTCGGCTTGACCAGGTTAGGACCACAATCTCAAAGAATAAAAAAACAGCTTATTGCTGCTGTGTTTCGTATGGTGAATGTGGAGGACCGGAGACCATTTAACTGGAACCGACGAAATCCATCTTAGTCCTCAAGAATAAATGTAGATGTCTATGGACCACAGCATTCACTTACCATCAGGTGGATTGTGTGCTCATTTGTCAACTTTATTCTATAAAAATAAAAGTAACATTATAATAAAAGTGGAAGACTCAAGTTCGACGCCTATGGCTTCATTGAAAAGTTTATTGTAATTTTAAGTGCTGATTTACCACGTGTTTATGGATGAATAAAATCATTGTGTAAGTCTGTCAACTCGTGCCACAAACGAGGTAGGACTGACGATAAGTGCTTGACTGAATAAAACGAATTTCTGTCTAATTGTTTATTGCAATAGTGCTGACTTATCACGTACTTGGTTGTGAAGGAAAGTATCGCGAGGAAACCTGCATTACACGTGGAAGTTCTGTTTTGGTTGTAGCACTGACGGGTCGGCCCGTCCGGGGAAGGACCACGCTCTCACCGAATACCAGCGTAAAATAGCAGCTCAATGCTACTGTGTTTCGTATGGTGAGTGTAAAAAAGTTAAGAATGTAAAAAACATTTCGAAAACATGTGAAACAAGCCAACAGTCATTGGTGCACCTGGGCGAACATCCCTGTCCTAAAATCCTCCACAGCATGAGAAGAGGTCTGTGTCCAGTTGTGAGACGTATGTTGGCTGTTGCTTGTCGTTATCACCCAGTGTGGGTTGGCGTGGCGGACACTACTGCACCACAACCCTCATCAGCGTTGCGACTGTAAAAAATTGAGTTGCCGTATTTGAAAACGAAAATTGCCGTATTTATGAAAAAAATCCACGAAATTGCCGTATAGTATTTATTTCTACAAATAATTAAATAAATTACATGAAATCTGAAATGTCTTCACCGTATAAGTTTCTAATTGATTCGAAAACATCACTCGCTTGTCTATGCAATGAATATTTTTCATTGCATTTCATTTTATTACGCATATCATTTGACACTATAAATTTCGAACAACCTCCTTGATTTTTAACTGCTTGTCTTGCTAATAGAGCTCCGTTGACAGTGGATGTTATCAATTTGTTTCTAGATTTTGTTTTCATATTATTAACTTCACTAAAAACTCTTTCGCAATCTGCATTGCTATGTGGTAGACATAATACGTCTAGAGCAAAGTTTGCCAATAATTTGCAGGCTGTAGTGTCTTGGACATTTGCCCAAAATTCATATACTTTCCATGTGTCTATTTCTAATTCTGAAAATTTGTTTATGTTTGGTAGCAACCTCCACTCGTCATCAATTCGTTGCATATCCGAATCTCTCACAATTCGTGGCAATTGCTGGGTCAGTGGCAACAACGACGGAAAAGTTTCTCTGACACTTTGGCTCACAGCCTCTTTTGGTGACAAATATTTAAGAAGTGGAAGTATCTCATCTGAAAAATCGTATCTCTTTCGGATTTCCTTGCAGCTCGTTATGAGAAATTTTCGGCATCGATGATTAAATTCATTTAAAAGGTCTTTCTGGTTTATAATATTTGGTTTTTTAGTTTCAGTGAGGACTTTAACACCCATGTATATTTGGGGAAGAAAATACTCTGAATTTTCTGGGTTAATAGAACATATTTCTGTCTGGTTAATATAATCTCTGAACATATAACATTGCAAGATCTCTTTGTAGAGAAATTTCATGTTATCGTCGAGTTCTACCAATCTGGCATCCGATCCTTGAAAATACTCATTGAGTTTTACAAATTTAGGCAATATCCATTGTAAAAACAAAATATATAGTTTTACGAAATCGTCATGTAATTCGCGAAAAATCAGCTCTGCAGCTACGGTGCGTTCCTCAAGCCATTTCTGAGCAAAAAATAATTTCAAACTATCCCATTGCTCTAACAATCTATTTACAACAGATAGTAGCGATAACCATCGCGTTTGAGATGGGTGTAGCAATTTATGCACTTTTGTATTCATAAAAATTTGAAATTCAACATACTCTGCTTGCCTTTTGGCACTATGTTTGAAAAATGCATACACATTTCGCGCCAAATCTTCACAACGTCGTGGTATTTCTTTACATGCTTCATTTGCGCACAGATGCATGGAATGACAGATGCACTTTATTATTTGTATACCAGGTAAAGCAGATCGTAATCGACTGGCGACTGAGTTCTGAGCACCCATCATCACATTACAGCCGTCTGACGCGAAACCGATAATATTTTCTAAGGGCACATTACGCTGAGTGAATGTTTCAATAATGGTTAAGTAAAGTGATTCAGCAGTACATCCTCGTGACGACGTTTCTCCTGTAACACTTTTCGCGTGCAGAGGCTCTAATTGCCATAAGCATGTTATAATTTTCTTATACTTTTTATCAAAATACCTAACAACAATGCATATTGTTTTGCAGGATGCAATGTCCGTAGACTCGTCAGCCATTACACTGAATTTCTGGTGTTTCAAAATATTCTCTAAGTACACTTTCTGACTTTCACCAATCACATTTTTCACAGTTGCTGTACATTTGTCTCTTTTCATAGCTAAATCAGCCGCTATTTTTGAATCGGGGAAGCAAGATTTCAATACATCCGACAAATGATCCATTGCCAGAAATGATATATTATGTTCAGCCACGAATCCCGCAAGTTTAATTTCAGCCTCAATAACTAAGACGTCTTTGTCCTTTTCACGTGATTTGTAGTAAGAGCTTAAACTTTTTGTAGAAAGTGCAGCCATTTGTCTGTTTTTATGCTTACTATTTGTGACATGCCGTCGCAGAGTTGAAAGTTCACATGATAATTTCACATCGCACTTAGTACACTTCGCTCTATACGGATCATCATCAACAGGAGCAATCCAGTCTTTGAAAAATTCTTCATTCTCCCACTGCTGTCGATATTTTTGTTTGATATGTTTACCCTTTCTAATTTTCTTTGGCGTAGAAGGGCCTTCTCCTTCTGTGTCGCTCATCTTGTAAGAGTAGATCAAATCAAATCAGAACAATAAACTATAAAGTAATACTTTCACTAATACCTCCTCGTAACGATTAAAATGAAAATTCATGAAGCACGACCGTGCGCATGGGAGATCCAAATTAAATTTACTGCCAGAGCAGAGTAAAATGAGTAAATACTACACAAGTACAGTACACATCTCATAGTTCATAATGTTGTACATTCATTCGATAATATAAACAAAGTAAATATGTATATCTCTTTCATTCATTACTTCTATCAATGTTAACCATGTATCATGCTCTCTTTGTCAGTCTCATAAAAGGAAAGATGGAACGGTAATCCCCCGTCATAGACAACTACTCATAAACAACCAGTCATAGACAACCACACTCTTTATCATGAAGGTTAGAGAACAGGAAAACGAAAACGACAGCCACCCACCGAGTCCCGAGCGGGCGGCGGTACGCGGTAAAGAAAAGTAGTGACTGCGAAGTTAGCCGTTTATGAGTACAAGTAGGTGAAGTTAGTTGAATAATGTACAAATTTTCATTTAATTTTTTCGTAGAAAATTTTCATGCTCCGTAAGTTTGTAACTTTTGACAGAAAGAAACATTAAAAATGGAGAAATATGTTATTGTGCGTGTATGTGCAAGTGGTTGAGCATTTGATCGGAAAAATAGACTGAAAATGACTTTTATTGACTACACTTAGTGATCGCAGCGCCTCACGGCCTCACTAATGTTGTCCATATTTCTGGGACACTATTTTCTACGGCGATCGTTCTCCTTTTCTCTAACCTTCATGCTCTTTATTATCACTTATGGGATGACGGAAGTGAAAAAATATCGATATCGAAACAGGTATTTATGTTTTTGTTCATAATTTGCCATTGTGGTTTATCGCAAAGCTGAATTGCCGTAATACTTGATACGGCAATGAAAAGCCTGCCGTATGCCGTATAATCTTTAAAAAAATCGTGGAATGCCGTATATTACGGCAATTGCCGTATCGATCGCAACGCTGACCCTCATAGAAACGAGTGGTAGCGAGTGGTCAATTCTGTACTTTACTTAGCTAATGTTTTCAGTATTCTTACTTTGAGAGAGTCATAAGAGGCAGTCGCGTCAAACTCGGTAAGTAGATCATATAGTCATGTGCCGAGTCAGTTAGATTCGAGTAGTTTGGCACCCATGTACTGGAAATTTCAAAATGAAGTTTCTGAATATTGTGTAACTCGAGTAATTATTTCGGGTATTGATAGTAATAGAACCTATGCTAGCACGGAGACTATGCAAGATGATATAGTGCACGCGTGTGTGTGCAAGCGTAAGTGCGCTCGTTCCATGCGATGTTGCAATGTAGTTTAGCTACCTTGACGATAGATGGCAGCCTGTTCACAAAATGATTATAAAAGCTATAAAAATAATATTTTGACGATTAAAAATTCTTTAGGACTGAATGCAAAACAAATTGTAACACCTTCGTATGATTATTTTACCAATACTTAGCTCTGCGTACCTTTATAGTTTTCGTTCCCATGACACAAAGTGCCGCCATCTAGTGTCGAATATATTTAATTACATTTGACAGAAGATGGACAGATTTTCCTAGAACCTTTTTAATAAATTAGGTATAAAATTACTTACAAATGAAATGTGATGCCATCCATAGCATCAGAGCGTCTATCTGTGTAGTTTTTACACGATGAAACACAACATTTTATCCTTTTCTTCGACGAACGCTGACAGTATACTAAGGAAAGCCACGCCCACTGTGATGACGTCAGGACCTAGTTAGAATCACAGTGCATAGTTGCTTATGCCATCTCCTCTTTCGGACTATTGTCGGATGGGACAGCAATCCAACACGACCAGAAGGAAATCATACACAGGACCAATGGCTTTAGATGCACTCGAAGACACAAGACTGAAACACTACCGACTTTCTGACACCGGTCTGCTATTGAGAATTTCTTGGCAGTATGACCCAATAACTTATTTCAAGATTTGAATCCGGGGCCATATGCTAACTGTACTAACGAGGCAGTCCCTCAGTATTCATAGTACTCAAATGCTAAACCGCGTACATAAATCGTGACTTTATCATTGCTATAAATTTTATATCATAAAGTAAGTTTTGTAATGTATGTACTCGTACGTTCGTTTTCACGGAACGTCGTCATTTAGTTAGTTTGTAGTTTTGCGCCTCCGTACTTCGTATTTATTGATTTTATAACTGGTGATGTTATATTCGATGGTGACTTTTGGAAGTGAGAAACGTTAGGGTTTTCGAATTTGATGAAGTACAAGAGATATCGAGTACTGAAACATTCGAATATCAAAAATGGCCCACTCAGCACAACAGTCACGGACGTGGTTGGAAGCTTGTTATGATTTTATAGTTCATAATGGAGATTGCTTCTCTTATTGCGACCCCGCTTAGTAATGGGTGTATGTATTGTATATACTCCGACTATAATTGCTAAAGTAATGGAAATTAGACGGCTCGTTGGCGGTTTTTTTTTATAGGAGAGGGGGCAAACGAGCATGCGGCTCACCTGATGGTAAGTGACTACCGCCGCCCATGAACAACTGCAACGCCAGGGGAATCGCAGATGCGTTGCCGGCCTTTTAAAAAGTAGTACTCTCTTTTCTTGAAGGTCCCTAAGTCGTATCGGTCCGGAAAAATCGCTGATGGTAATCGATTCCACAAGGAGGTCGTGCGAGGAAGAAAACATCTTCTAAATCGCACAGTGGTGGACCGCCAATCATCCAGATGGTGTGGATGGTATCGGGAGTTCTGCCGCGATGTGCGTTCGTGAAATTTGGCGGCTGGGATTAATCCGAACAATTCCTCAGAGCATACGCTGTCATACGCATAGCAATGAATGTTACCAGTTAACAACATATCATTGATATGCAGAAGAAACAGCGTTGGTGATAGCACACAGCCTTGTGGAACACCAGCGTTAATAGGCTTGTAGTCAGAGCATGCACCGTCTACAACGACCTTGATGCTCCGATCTACAAGGAAGCTGGTGATCCAATTGCACAATTTCTCGGGAAGCCCATAGGAAGGGAGCTTCGAAAGAAGCGCTTTGTGCCAAACCCGATCGAAGGCCTTCGCAATGTCCAGACTAACGGCCAACGCCTCCCCCTTGGACTCTACTGCCTCCGCCCATCTATGGGTCAGGTAGACCAGAAGATCACCAGCTGATCGACCCCGACGAAAACCGTATTGGCGGTCACTAATCAGCTGGTGATCCTCAAGGTACCGGATGAGCTGGCAGTTAATAATGGATTCCATTATTTTGGAGAACAAGGAGGTGATCGCGATAGGCCTATAGTTGGATGGGTCTGAGCGGTCGCCTTTTTTAGGGATCGGGTGGACAAAAGCTGTCTTCCATGAATTCGGGACTACGCCTTGGGAGTAGGAGTACCGGAAAAGACGCGTTAGGACCGGTGCCAACTCCGGAGCACACGTCCTCAGCACAATTGGGGGGATTCCGTCAGGCCCACTCGACTTCTGGATGTCCAGGTAGAGCAGTGCTTTGCGAACCGAGCGCTGTGAGAACAGCACATCCGGCATGGAGCACTCACACCGCGGGATGGTCGGCGGTGTTTTCCCCCCGTCATCAAGAGTCGAGTTGGACGCAAAAAGGGAGCCTAAATGGTCGGCTTTGTCTTTTGCGTCATGGGCCAGTGAGTCATCCTCCCTGTGCAGAGATGGTAGTGAAGGCTTACAGAAATTCCCTTGGACAGCCTTGGCGAGAGACTAGAATGCACGGGTTCCCGAAGGAAGGCGAACTAGTTTCTCGCCAATTCTGCCTATGTGCTCTGACTTTGCCTTGGCAATAACTCTTTTGAAGGACCTGGAGGCGAAGTTATACTTCTTTTTAAGTGTGCTGGTATTTACATCCCGAGTCGCCGAAGCCGCAGCCCAGGCTTGATAACACTCCTGCTTACTGCGTAATGCAGTCTTACAGGAGCGACCAAACCAAGGCTGAGATCTGCCTCCGATGGGTACCACAGATGATGGAATAAATAGTTCCATTCCCTGTAGCACCACATCAGTGACAGAGTCAGCAACAGCGCTGGGATCATCCGGCGAGAAGCAAACCCGCCCCCATGGGTAGGATGCAAAGAAGGACCGCATTCCGTCCCAATCCGCCGACCTGTAATGCCAAACACGGCGGCAACCTGCAGAACGCAACCGCGAAGGGAGCGTGAGTGGCACCACACTCCGGATCAGACAATGGTCCGAAGAGCCGAGAGGGGCATCGACGGAAACCAGATATCCGTCCGGATGAGAGGTCAGCAGAAGGTCCAACAGGGAAGGTGTATGATCCTCCACATCTGGAATCCGCGTAGGCGAAGTAACCAGTTGTGTCAGACCATATGCCAAGGCAAAGTCATAAACAGATCTCCCCGCATGATCGGTTAGACGTGAACCGAGCCATTCGGCATGGTGGGCGTTAAAATCGCCAAGGATCACGATCTCTGCGGATGGGACCTGTTGTAGCAAGAAATCTGTAGCCATTTGGACGTGGTCGATGAGTCGGTCTGTTTCGGCATTACCGCTATGGGACCTATAGAGGCACCCGTAGACGCGCGGATGGTCGTCGCTGTCTACGCGTAGCCAAAGGACGGACAGGTCCGAACCTTCAAGACTGCCGAGGCGTCGAGAACAGATGTCCTCTCTGACATACACGCAAACTCCAGCCCGAGGCACAAAGGAATGCTCCAATTTGTACCCCGGGTAGGAGAGATACGAAATATCAGCCGGAGAGGAAACCTGCGTCTCGGTCAGAAAGAGCAAGGCCGGCTTCGCCGTCTCGAGATGGTAGTGGACGGCGTTTAGGTTAGAGTGAAGTCCCCTGATGTTGCAGAAATTCACGGATAGCGTGGCAGGGGTCGCCTTGGTGTTCTTGCTCAGTTTGCCCCTAGCAGTAATGCTTTTGAGCGGAATTTTGCCTCCCCCAGAATACGCGGGGCAGCCTGAGCACCCACGCTC